GAGGCGCCCTCCGGGGAGGACAGTGACCGGCTGCGGGCGGCCGCCGCGCCGCCAGCGAAACAAGTGAACGGCGACGCCGAGCGCAAGGTGGCGCCGCCGTCGGCAGCACGGAAGATAAACGGCGCTGTCGAGGAAGCGGACAGAGAGGGCGCCACCGCACCCTGCCAAAACTCGCTGCGGTGTCCGCCGCCGCCACCCATCTGCGTGGGGGCACCACCGACGATGACAAAGTCCGACCGCAAGCGCCGAAAGTCGGCGACGGGCGGCGAGGGTGCGAGGGCGCCACAGTCGGCGTCGAAAGTGATGGAGAACGGCTTTGTCGTTGCCGACGGCGACGAGAAGCTGTGCGTGCAGAAGCTGCTCGGAACGGCGCGCACCAAGAACCACATCAAGGTGGAGCCACCGGTCGCAGTAACGCCGCCGCCGCCCGCGGCGACGATGACGACGACGACGACCACCGCTGCGGAGGAAAAGACTAGCGCCACGCCGCCGCCGGCTACCGCGACGCCATCTGGCGAGTGGGCGTCGTCGTCGAGCGGCCTCGAGGACGAGGCGTACCGGCCGGACGAGGCGTCGCTTGTCGCGGTTGCCGACGGCGACGAGCATCTCGTCCGGCGCTGCGTCACCATCTCCAACATCGTGCGCTCGCTGTCGTTCGTGCCGGGCAACGACGCGGAGATGTCTCGCCAGCGCGGCCTCCTGCACGTCGTCGGCCGCCTGCTGCTGCTGCGGCATCGCCACGACGACCGCCGACCCAAGCAGCCGTTCGGCGGCGGAGCGGCGGGGGAGGAGGAGGACGACGCGGTGACGCGGCGTTACTGCACGAGTCTCGACACGCGCGTGGACGCGTGGGCGTCGCCGTGCGTGGACGCGCTGCGCGAGAACGCGCTCGTCACGCTGACGAACGTCGCGGGACGCCTGCACCTGATGTCGCACCCGGAGTCGATCGTTCTCCCGATCCTCGACGGCCTGCTGCACTGGGTCGTCTGCCCGTCGTCGTACGCGCGCGACGCGTTGCCGACGACGACGGCGGCTGTGGCTCTGTCGCCGCAGCGGCTCGCGCTGGAAGCCCTGGCGAAGATGAGCATCCAGGAGCACAACGTCGACCTGCTGCTGGCGACGCCGCCGTACGAGCGGCTGGAGGCGTTCTTCGCGCTGCTCGCCGCCAACCTGGCGCGCGCGCGCGAGCAGCCGACGCGCGAGATGTCCGTCGTGTTGCTAAGCAACCTCGTCGCGGCCGACACGGCGGCGGCGCGCGCCGTCGCTGGGCAGCGCGCGGTCGTGCCTAACCTGCTCGCGTTCCTCGAGGAGTTCGAGGCGAACGCGCTCGCGGTGGCGAACGCTCACGGCGTCGCCGCGCTCCGCGACGGCCCCGAGATCATGGGCACGTCGTTGGACATGCTGCGGCGCGCGGCCGGCGCGCTCGCCTGCCTCGCCCGCGGGTCTGCGGCGGCGGCGGCGCGTCCGCTGCTCGCCCGCTACCAGCCGCGCCTGCTGCACCTCGTCATGTCGCAGATCCTCGACCAGCAGGTGGCGCTGCTCGTGTCGGACGTGCTGTACGAGGTGACGCGCGGCTCGTCGTGACGCCGACCGCTGCCACGAGAGGGCGCCGCGGGAGCGCGCCGCTTGTACAGAGATGGCGCCGCCGTCGTTGGACGAGGAGGAACCGGCGCGAGAGAGTAGAGATGCGACATGGCTTGTGATATACGCGGGTGAGAGGGGAGAGGGGAGGAGGAGGCCGGGGCCACGCGCCCCCTCCCACCGGGACCCCCCCGGCATCGCGGAGCGACGACGACGACGTTGATGATAAACTGCTGCAATTCTTTTTTCTTTCTTTTTTTGTATCGTTGAAGATCGGAGAGCGTGCGCGTAGAGGGCGCCGCTGTTGCCGCCGGGACTTACGCGCGCGGTGCGGCGGCGCGCGCGTCTGTGTGTGTGTGTGTATGATATGTGGTGACCTGGAGCGACTAACGGATAAAGCCCACGGCTAGACTGGCGTCGACTTTCGTCGACGACGTGAAGAAACAAGCGAGCGCTTGTGCGAGTGCGCCCGCCGAGACTGATGATGATGTGGCGAGGGCGGGGGCGCCACCGTACAGAGCCGAGGCTTATTCGTCGGAGATTGTGTGTAGTAGATTTTAGACTGGTTCCTGCCCCTGTTCCCGGAGGACGCCGCGAGTGCGCGGGAGAGGTCGGGCGCCCGTCTACGTTAGTTACCGATTCGATATATTAGTGCCAGTTACTCTTCACGAAACCACTTCTCGTTGTGACCGCTGTACATTTCCTCGTCGACCCGTCTCTCGGCCGCGCCCGCCACGCCCGCCCGCGTCCCCCGCACGACCCGCTCCCCCACCCACCACGCTGCCCGGTGGAGGGGGAGGCGGGGGCGGGGCGCGGGCGGGCGTGGAGGGCGCGGCCGCGCAGCGTCTACTATTTCTCAATGTCGTGTTATTTCTCACAGAAAGGGAGGAAGGGGTTACCTGGGAATCAGAGAGGGGAGTTTGCGCGCGAGTGTGCGTGCGTAAGCGTATGCGAGTTTGCGTGTGTGGGCAAGCAAGCAAGCAGGCGTGCGTGCGTGAGCGTGCGTGCGTCTGTGCCGCGATTGCGTTGTTTAGACGTCCTCTAGCATCGTAGCTTGATTAACTTTGCGTGCTGGCAGCGTCCATCTGAGCGCAGCATCCACCGGCGCACCGCCCCGCCTCGCTTCTTACGCGTTCCTACGCGCCCGTCAGGCGTCGTCGCCACGGCAACCGGTCGCAGCTTCCAACGCGCGTTAGCGAGAGGGGGCTGCCAGCGTGCGGCAGCGAGAGAGTCGTCGTCACGACAACCGCAGCCGCTTCCTGCCCTTATTTGGCGCGTTCGCAGACAATGGGTTAAGGGGGGGTTGCATAGAGCGCGCCACTTACTGCTGCCGCCATTGAAAAATCTTGCCTCGGCTCGTGGGTGCGCACGTCTGATATAACCGTATTTGCTCACACATACACGGTGCACATCTCCCCTCCCCTTCTCGTCGCTGCTTCCGCCGCGACGCAGCGGTGAACCTAGAGTGTGTGTGTGTGTGTGTAGTCAATGATTGTCTAGCAACAGGAGGAGGAGGGGTGCGCTGCCCGTCTGTCTGTCTGTCTGTCTGTGCGTGCGTGCGTGTATTGGTCGCTGTCCGGCCGTGGGAGGGGAGGGTAGGGGGTGACGTTCCCCCAAATAGGAGAGCGCTTTATAATTGCAGACACGCTTACTTTCAGAACGCTATCGCTTTTCGCACTCACAAGGGGGCGCTGCAAAACGTGAAATCGTGGGGTCGTACCATTGTACAGCTGGGGGAGGGGGGTTGGGTGGGGGTTGATGAATGTATGATAGAAAAGTATGAAATACTATATTACGTGTTAGGTGAGTATATTATTATATAGCTACAGACTGGTGTACTAGTCTTTTTCCAGCCGTAATACGTACTTGTTTCATAAAAGTGGACAGTCTATACATTGTACTTGTAATCAAGCATATACTGTAATCATTGTCACTCGTAAAAAGCGTTACGAAATAAATGTATATAAAATCCTATGTTAATCGGTGTGCTTTGCGTTGTTTGTTATTGTGTTTGGTTCTCTCGTTTCCTTGATTAGATCTCTCAATTCATGCGGTTTCTTACTCCCCCCCCCCCCAGCCGGGAGTTGCTAGAACACGGGCGTCAAAGGAGGGTCACGTGATGTGCTACACTTGTGTTAGGATTAGGGAAATAAAGCCATGTCTAGCACGGAAGTATGACTGGAAGATTTGGACTTTGAAGCGTACAAATGACTAGTGCTGCCACGTAACGGCACCATCCTTCGACGCCCGTGTTCTAGCAACACCCCCCACCCCCGGGGCCCCGTTCACTTCGGATTCCCTCTTGATTAAAAAAAAAAATCTGGATACTACCTATAGTATATCTATTGCATGATATTATTATTAATGTTCGATGATATTGATAATAATATATCATATTATATAATAATAATCATATTAATGATATCAGTATAATATTATAATAAGTGAGATCGGAAAGTCCAGCTGTGCTATGTACTATATATACATCAGACGTCCCAAGTCTCCCCCGGTATGACACGCTGCTCCCGGTGCCCCGGAATGAGGTCAGAAGCTCCCGGTTTGTAACATTTTTCAGCCATATGAAAATTTACATCAGTAAATCAGTAAATTTACTAAATTTGCCGTTCTTGTTGATGTACTTTGATTCCAGCGAACAATAAAAGGCGATAAAACGATGATTTTACATGTATACTTTATAAAAAATGGTGGTGTGCCGCGACAAACACATATCACAGCCCGCCACAACTTTTTTCCTGTTTTTGCGCACTGCGAAAAAACGGCGATGGACCTGGCTCCCTTTCTTGGATTGATGGTGACATTGGTGACAGTCTTGTGTGTCAATCATGTCTAGCAGATAGGTGAATTCACCGGGTGTATCAGTATCCTGTACAGTGAACCCAGTGTACAGTGTACGGATAGGAATTTAATTCGTTCCACAGAATTGTTCGTATCTCGAAAAATTCGTATCTCGAACCCTATGTGCAATCATGATAGCACAACCACAATAAATGAGTCACGTACTTAAACTGACTCACCGAAACAGCGCACGCTATGTCTACGCGCTGATTGGCTGATTCGTAAGACGTTCGTATGTTGAATTTTATTCGTTTGTCGAATACATTACGTTCAACGGGAGGTCGTTCGTATCTCAAAAATTCGTAAGTCCAGCCGTTCGTATCTCGGGATTCCACTGTATTCATATATATCATATGATGACTCGCCACGCCAGCGTTATAACCCTAACTAGCGCCACCTGTTGTTCAAACACATGTATAGATAGACGCTACGACGGATCGCACCCAGCCCCCGTATATCAGACAGATATGTACATCCCGTGCTCGCTCTCATCCGTTGCCGCCGGCAACCGCGACGGGATGGAAGCACGAACAACAAGCGGTGTCGATATCAACGACACGACAACGCGCCGGCCGTGGCTGTGCGCCGCGCCGCAGCGATTTTCACGAATGAAATTCGGAGCGGGGACGTTGCTAGCGGGAAAAGGTGGCGCTTTCAGCGGTTTGCGGTCGTCGACGCACCTCTCGAACGTCGGCCGTGCGTTCGCGTTGTTCTCGACTTTCCCAACTTGGGACCTCTGTATACATGTACATGTACTGTAGAGCTACGAAATATGTAACCCAACCAGGCTGTGTGACTAACGTCAATATACACAGTAGAGACACATGCACAGGGTTAGGGTCACCTAACCCTAGCAAGGACCGTTTCTTGGAGCTACGAAATATGCAGCTCGACCTCGATGACCGACACGACACTGTCGACAGTGCGACACTCATTTCACATTTGCAAATTACATTGAATTTTCCTTTAACATATATAAATTTTACTTTACTTACGCTATCTGTCAATTTGATGAACTTGTCTCTCCGTCTTCGTTATAGTCCGTTGGACTTTTCAAGACTATTCTTTATGAGGTTATGAGGTTACAACTTACGAGGCTAGTACAAAACATCAGCTGAGTGCTTGTCTCGGCGGATTCGTCTGCTTAGCAGTCACGTGACAGTGTTTTCTACGCATGAACATGGCGGCAGGGCACGTGATCACGTGTAACCAATCCGTTTCACTTCTCTGTATATATATTGTTCTCAGATGTAGGCACTGATCTCTATAATATAATATTATAGAGATCAGTGGATGTAGGTCACAGAAAAAGGGGGTAAAAAATGGCAGAGGCGCGCTTAGGAAAGTACATGATTAATATAAACGCTCGTGCGTTTATAGTTTTTGCATTAACACAAACATTGCAAAATATTCCAAACGACCGCAATCATATTTGTAAATATTTAATTTATGTAAACAGAACTAATACATTTAATAATATTGCAACAAAATTATTTTTATTCATGAAATAAATGCTGGATATAATACAGCTGCACATGTCATATATTATTGATATAATTCACTAATTATATAAAATTACGATCCAGGCGTGATTAATGAATAATACCGGTGAGAATCAATAATACTTCACATGTTCACCGCATAGCGGCAGCACCATCCAGCATGTAATCGATAGTAATGCCGACGTCTGCCGCGTGGTGGCAGCATCGTCCAGTCATGTAATCGGTTGTAATTCCGACATTCGCCGCGTGGTGGCAGCATCGTCCAGTCATGCACGTATTCGATCGTAAATGTACATGTACTTTATTATGTAAAGAGTTAGCTGTCAATATTCAACAAGAAATATTCTCTCACTATTTTGACCGAATTGTATGTACAAGTGAGTAATACATGTAATACAATTTAATACAGGATAAATTATAGAGTGGCGTTAGTGGCAGCAGGCGACATAACTATGCGTACTAGCAGCACAAATGAGGAACTCGCCTTTCCTGCCACTAGATGCCGCCTAGTTCGCAAAATGGCTGCGCCCAAGAGTTCACGTGAATCCGATTCCAAAGTTTTGGGAAGGAAAAGAAAGAAATCGACAGTAAATACTTCTGAAACAGTAGCCAATGGTTCAGATAATCATGATAGTGAAGAATCTGAAAGCAAAGCAAAGGCTGTTAAACTTGATTATAGTTCAGCGGAGTTTAAAGTAGAATTAAAAGACCCAAACACTTCATTTAAAGGTACAACTTAACTAAGTTTGTATTGCTATTCTGTTCAGTACATATGCACCGCGGCATACTATAGACTAGTCTAGACTAGTATAGGCATACCGAACATTACAAGGCACAAATTGATTAACAATGATCCGTGTATATCATCAGATCATCTACTCCACAATGGCTATGTTAATCTTCACTTCTTAACTTAACCAACGACAACGTCAACGACGTTTTTCCCACAATAAATTTTGAAAGTAAACAACTGGGGATTCATCATTTCATGACATGCAGGGATCGGGCTACTAGTGCCATCCTGCAATTAACATGCAATTTAATGCTTTATAATTGCTCTCTCTCACACACGCTCAATATCTCGTGCGCGGCCGCTTTTTTTCCCTCTCGCTCGCGCTCTTTCCGTCGTGCGTCTCTCTTTCTCGACTCTATTTCCTCGGCTCTCCCTCGAGCTCCTCTCCCAGCGTAGGTCGGGAGGGTATGCTGTCTGACCTCTCCTCTCTCTCTCGTCTCTCCCAAAAGGAGAGCGCTCTTTAACTTGCAGACACGCTTGACTTCAGAAGCGCTAATCACATCTCTCTCTCTCTCAGTCTCGTTCTGTCTGTTCTCAATCTCCAACCTCTCTATCTATCCGCACAGCTCTTTGCTCTGGCATAATAGGCGCGCCAGCATTGCTAATAAATTATAACCGTGACTTAATCGTGTGTCGGTCTATACGCGATCTGTAGCTCCCTGCTCGCTCTGCGGTGCAGGCGTGTGTGCGGGTAGCGGTGGAGAGGGGCGAGATAGCTACGGTAGCCAGCACTGCAGTACGTATACAATCACACCAGCTATAGTCTCTATGTCCGTCGCTTCATTATGAATGTACCGTCGCCACTGTATATCTATAGAAAACGAGAACATTAATGAGCGACATATATTATTGAACCGATAACATCTAGCGAGTTCGTTATCTCTGTGTCAGAAGTCACATGAAAAATTACATATTCACTAGCTACAGACTGGGTGCTCAAAACTTTGAAGCATATTCTTTAATAGCTCAGAGCCAACGGCTGTGTCAAGAAACAGACAACTGTACCTGGTCGCTTACTCAGTGAGAAAGTAGCGTGGTATAGCCCACGTATACTCATACATTTGTACTGCAATAATATACTAGTAATAGTCATATAATAACCTCAATTATATTGCAATAATAATCACACATTAACAATATATATAATTCTCACACCGTTACTTTTAATTTTAATAGCCGAGAAACTGTCCGTCTCAATCAATCATAAATGTTGCAATATATATATTAATATATATCAAGTGCCATATAATTGTTAATTTTTCGATATAATAGCAGAATGACTTGCACTTTGAGTTAGTCCTTCTACGTTTGCAGTTGCTATTTCATTCTTCTCTCTATTGATATATTATTATCGGAGGCAAGTCGCTTGGATCTTCTCTTGAACATTTCAAATGCCTCTCGTGTGTATCTCTGGCAAATTGTGCTATGATTACTATATATTTTAATACATTGATTAGCACTTCTAGCAAGCGTTTCTCGATTACTTCTTGTGTAGGACGGCGGTTCCTTACTCCCCCCAATACCGCCCGCCTTCCGAAAACTCTACCGCAACAAGACACTGGTTGCCCATATCCACCAGAGGCCATATGAGAATTCCTGTGATTATTAGTAATTAAGAGGGGTCTTGTCATAAAGGAGGGGTCTACTGTGGAATTGTTTTGCTATGATTATTAAGCTCTTGATATTACTTTAGTAGTTTAATATTAAATTGAATTCTAGTTAGTACAATAAACCAAATCCTCTACCTCGGCACCGCCGGCGAACGACATCACTCCCACACCCACTCAGGAGCATTTCTCGGAGCGTGTTGGAGATATGCGCGGAAAGCTGCTGTTATTTATACAAGCGTGGAAGATGAAAGAACCACTGGCGTTGGGCGCCTTCGTTTAGCTCATACGTCTAACATACGGTGCTACAATGATCGCATCTATCATACATCATTACCACGCATCCTATCATCCATCATCATCTCCACCAGTTCATGGATCTTACATCTATCAGCCAACACCTCCCCACCGCGACTCCGGGGCCCGTTCACCGTTCGATTCCTCCTTGATTAATAAAAAAACAATCTGGAATACTACCTATAGTATCATGCTCTTGCCATGATATTATTATTAATGGTTTTTTCGAGTGATATCACATCAATAATATAATTATCAATATATATAGATAATAATCATCATAATAGATAATCGAGCAGTATAGAAACATTTTATTATAATAAGTGAGAATCGGAAAGGTCCAGCTGTGCTATGTAGCGTATATATTTTTACAAAAAAAAAAAAAGTCAGACGTCCAAAAAGTCCCACTGTCTCACCGGGAGACCCCCCCCCCCCCCCCGGTATGACAACGCTGCTCCGTGCCCGGGAATGAGGTGCGAGAAGCTCCCGTTTTGTAAACATTTTTCAGCCCCCCCATAATGAAAAAATTTACATCAGAGTAACTCAGTACATTTTTACTAAATTTGTCCTGTTCTTGTTGATGTAGCCGCCTTTGATCCAGCTGAACCAATAAAGGGGGCGATAAAACGATGATTTTTAGCATGTATACTTTTTAAAAAATGTGGTGTGCCGCGACAAACACATATCACAGCCGCGCCAAAAGAACAGGCGCAACTTCTTTCCCCCGTTTTTTCCTTGGTGTTTTTTTTTTTTTGCGCACTTGCGAAAAAACGGCGATGGACCTGCTCCGCTTCTTGGATTGTTGGGCAATCTGGCCTCCCCTTTCTTGGATTGCTGGCTCCCCTTCCTTGGTCTCTCTCTCTCTCTCTCTCTCTCTCTCTCTCTCTCTCACTGTCTCTCTCTCTCTCTCTCTCTTGCTCGCACTGTCTCTCACTCCCATCACTACTTCAGCTCTCGAGAGATTTGTCGCGGCGGCGCGGGCGTGGACGCCGTTGGACGAACATGACATCGTCAAGAACTACTGCTCGCTGTCGGCAGAATGCGACGAGATCTTCCTGTTGCTTGAGAGCACCAAGCACAGACCAGCGCAGGTAATGAGAGCACTGAGTATAGGCTGCAACGATACACCTAGCGCATTACGCGATACGTATCACAATATTTTGGCTATGATGCGATACGTATCACAATATTTTGGCTATGATACGATACGTATCACAATATTTTGGCTATGATACGATACGTATCACAATATTTTGGCTATGATACGATACGTATCACAATATTTTGGCTATGAGACGATACGTATCAGAATATTTTGGCTATGATATGATACGTATCACAATATTTGGGCTATGATACGATGTGTATCACAATATTTGTTGTGTAAACCCCTCCCTAAGGGTGGTCACAGCCAGGGCGCTGTACACCTTCAGTGTCTCTTTTACCTGTTATGACCCCAAACTATTAAATGCTCCATAGCATGTCTGGCAGAAGTACTTCACTATGTGTAGAAAATTGAAATTCCTGCATAGTGTTATTGCGTGTTAAGAGTAACGTTATCTTCAGGTGAATCTAAGTTTATTGAGTTTAACTTTATTTTCCCACGACTGGTCCGGCTGTATTTGTCCAGCCTGTCAAACCGAACAAAGTTGCTCAGTCTCATCACAAGATGGCAGCAGGTGACAAGCCGAGTAACCTCCGTTCAATCTCGCGCTCTTCATGATTTCTCTGTTGCTCGTCTAGCTGCGTGTCATCTTCAACGCGCTCGAGTGCGTTCTGCTGCGCACCGCAGACGACCTCGACAGGTACAGGGTCGTTGGCATGGCGATCGTGCGGCGGCTACTGCGATCCAACATGGTGTCCCTGCACACGGAGCTGTCAGCAAAATCGGGAGGTGAGCGCGTCGTCGTGACGACGTGACAACGTAATGAGCTGAACATCGATAACATACGCCCTACTGGCATGACCATGTACATAGCTCATATTCATGTATATATGTATGTGAATGTGTGTTCTATTAGTGTATGTGTGTGTACATTATGCACTGTTATTAGCATGCTTGCACTAGCAGATACAAGCATGAACACATATCTATATGCGAGACTGGACACACACACTCACTCGAGCACGCACACACGCACAGGCAGACGCACATACCCCTCCCCCCACACACACATGCACACGCACACGCATCATGCACAGATATAATCATGGTACAATACACACGACGTACCACGTATGTGTAATATATATATATATGAACCGCGTGATTACATCAGGACTCCCTCATTCATCTACTCCTGATAATATCAAGCGTGATTAAAAAACAAATGACCTGTTGTAGTTATTTGTTTTTATTCACTTCTGACACGATGTGCATTATGTGGGGCTTTGGCTAATGGCCACCATTATCGTAGCGATCAAGACATCTGACAGATGTCGAAAACGTTTACCGAAACGTTTAAATTCTTGTTTCGTTTAAAAGAACTTTTCCATTTAGCCGTGTATGTGTGTGTAGCTCATCCTGCAGCGTTCTCATACCCTGCGCACTCACGACGTTTTCTCCTCGCGACAGTGTGCGTCAAGTCGGGCCTGAAGCTGCTGAGTGCTATGATCGCGCAGGGTGACGCGGCGTGTCAGGAGGTGCTCGCTCTGTTCGACTTCTCCAGTCAGTGGCTGCAGCATCTTCTCAACAGGAGGAACCTGAGGGTGAGAGGTGACGCGGTGGTTGCCACGGCGATTAATGACGACGATGATGATGATAATGATGATGATGATGATGATGATGATGATGATGGTGATGATGATGATGATGATGATGGTGATGATGAGGATGGTGATGGTGATGGTGGTGATGATGATGATGGTGATGATGGTGATGATGGTGATGGTGATGATGATGATGAGGATGATGATGGTGATGGTGATGATGATGATTGTGACGGCAACGGCGGCATCGACGACGACTACGACAACAACAACGACGATGATGATAATAATACTATTTTACTAATAATAACTTTATTACTATTATTAACAATAACACAAATGATAGCAACCATAATAATCGTTATCGTCATTATATTAATAATATTAATAATTATTGGACATGTTACAATCACACTATTTAACACTTCTTGCTTTTTTCCATGATCCCTGATTCCCACCATGATAAACACATTTAAATAAATACATTACTTATTAGTATTAGTAGTAATAATAATAGTGATATATATTATATATTATATATATTTAGTGATAGTAATTGTAATGCTGTGTTATAATGTGTTTTAGGAGGAGCAGGATGTCCGCGTCTGCTATCTACATGTCGTGCTTGCATTCCTCGTTGCCGGCGACAACGGCGTGATCCGCGCGAGCCTCGAGCATCCGCGTCTGCTCGCCGCCATCTTCCCCGGTCTGCTGCTCGACCGCGCCGACACCGTGCACCTCGTGCTGACGACCGTGCGCGAGAAGGTGCGCGCGAGCGACAGCGCCATCTGTTGATTAGATTTACAATGAAGAGATGATTTATATTACTTCTTTTATTTATTATGACTACCGATTACTGTTACTAGTAAATATTATTGCTTTTAATTATCATTATATACTATACTATTATTAAGTTTGTGATTCGTTATTCATAAGTAATAATTATTATTATTATTGTTATCAAGAGCTAATACTACTACTAATAATAATCAGGGTTCGTAGCAGGTCTTCCAAAGTCTTATAAGTACTTATTTTGCCAAAAATAAAATAAGGGCCCTTATTAGTACTTGTTTTTGGTGAAATCTTAGAAAAGTACTTAATAGTCCTTATTTTTTTTAATTGTTTTATAAACTGTTCTCGACTTAGAGTAAGAATTGTTGTATATATAATACGGATTAATTAGATCTGCTGTGCAATTGTGTATATAAATATTATTAGTGTACTTTAATAGTCGGTGATCTATCAGAAATCGCATAAAAAGTCTTATTTTGGCCTCCAGAAAGGGTATTATAAGTCCTTATTTCAATATGTGTCTTACTACTATGAACCCTGATAATACTACTACTAATAATAATACTACTACTAATAATAATAATTGAGAGCTAATAATAATAGTAATAGGTAATATTACCTCTTGTTGTTATTTATTTATAATAAACATACGATTACATTGCTGACTCACGCTCCGGTGCTGCCATCTATACAGTTATTTATTTATAATAAACATACGATTACATTGCTGACTCACGCTCCGGTGCTGCCATCTATACTGCAGATAGTTGAGAATCTGGCGGTGAGCAAGACGGCCAAGGTTCGGCTGTTCACGGCGTCCATGTTGGCACAGCTGGTCAGGCTCTACGGCTGGACGCGGCCCGTGTGGAACGCCAGCCAGCTGGCCGACGGCGATGGCAACGATGGCGGCGTAAGTTTGGAGAAATGGCGGTGGCGTATGGTTACGGTTCACGTAATAATTCTGGGACCCGTTGTCAGAAACAAAATTAGTCTTAACATTAGTCTTAACATTAATTTTTTCTGTTAGACCGTCGACAGAAACGCTGCGAAGTTGCCTGAATGGAAAATCGTAGCAGATTTCCTCATAACAATAGGAAACAAAGCGCTGTCGACGGTCTACGAGAAAATGTTAGTGTTAAGACTAATGTTAAGACTAATTTTGTTTCTGACAACGGGCTCCTGCTTGTCATTCTCACATAACATGATGTTCTCGCATATTCTCATATAATGTTTGTAATGGTTTTAATTGCAGTTTTGCCCCGAAGGTGGCGCCGGCGACCAGGAGCTGGTGCACGACACCACGCATGAGTTTCTGTTGCGCGTCTGTTGCTCGTACAAGTATGGCGTCGCGTTCCGTGACTCGTCGCTCGGCACCGCTGCCAGGTAGCGCCACCCGCGTCCCAGCATGCAACGAGCGCTAAAACACGAGACGGCTTTCGTAGCG